CAAGGCAACATTTGAATGGCAAAAGACAAGAGAATGTAAGAGCATGTATTAGCATGCGTATTAAATATATTTTAGCGCCTTAGACATTAAATATTACTAAAGCGTCTTGTACCATTTTCTTTTCTATTTTGTTACAGAATTCATTGGAGAACTTCAAGAGGGAACTTAGGCTCAAAAATGACGTCATACGACAACTCATCGGTCAAAGTAATCTTAATACTAAGTTTTTAAAACACTTTTCAATGTGTTGAAAGTAAACAAGGACTGAAATGGTTTTGCTCCAACACGGTCTGTGATTGGTTTAGGAAAATTGCCCCATCTTCTCCACCAATCAGATACAAAAATAAAGCCAGTCGCGACTCGCTTTTTCCCGCGCTTTAAGCTGTTTCCTTTTAATGTGAGTTCCCATTGGCTCCCGCACGGTCTCTGACATAATCTCATGACCAGATCTCCCAAAGCCACGCGAGCAGGACTGAGTGAGAAATTACTCCGGAAGTTGCCTAGTGATCAGACGGGCTTTGGTCCTTCTTGTCGTATACCCTCTCTCCTCTCCCCTGAATATATGCACGTAAGAGTTTCATGATCAACTTTTCACTTCGCAGCCAACGTAAGGCTTGTTAATTAACAATAAAAGAGCTGCTGCAGAAAATCATTTTAAAAGTAGTTGATAGCAACATTTCATATGTCTGGAATTAGGTAACCTCTTTATTTCAACGCGAGAAGAGCTGGAACATACAATAAACCGACAGAACACACAAATTGAAGAACTGGAGAGAGATAAAGATCTACTGAGTTCATCGCTGGCACAAAGTCGAGAGAGAATAACATGTCTCCAAAATGAGGTGAGATTCATGTTTTCTTGGAAAACAAAATCGAGACGTGCCCTAATTGGTTTGGAGCTTAAATAACGTAATCCGTATTAGTTCAATCGCTCTGACGAAGGGCTAACGCTCGAAACGTCAGCTTTTAAACCTCTTTACGGTGGCCAATTTACGTTATAAACTCGGTTGATAATACTAAATTACCCTGTTATACTCTCCCACCGACGCAGCACCACAATTTCCTTAGAAAATTACCCCCTTAGTTCAATTTAGCTTTAACAGAAATACAATGTTTCTATTACAGCTCGAGGAAAAGGTGCACAAGAATCACGTAAGCCCCACAGGGACGGTACATGGTCTGCGCATGATGGAAAGTAACCTTGTTGACGAGAGGTTGTGCTCGACAACTGCTGATGAAATAGGAACACATCACCGGCATTCAATCTCAGCTGAAGAAGTTATAGCAGAGTTAGATGGACCTACATCTATCCCTGGGTTACTTGAAATGTTGAGAGAAAAAAACGAAAGGATTCAAGTGCTGGAAGATAATCTATCACGGGTAATTGTGAAAGTAAAATGTTATTTTTTATGCGTAAAACTTTCAATAATCAAATTCGTTCCAAAGAAAATTGGTGATTGAACCTTCGTCTGCTTCTTTTTAGCTTGAACAAACGTTAATGCAGGAAGGTACATCAAGGAGCTTGGCCATAAAAGCTGTCTCTGTCCCAAAGTAAGTTTATTCTTGCGCAATAGGTTCCAAAAATTCCATAGATGAGTCATAGCTCAAAAATCAAAGTGAGCGCGAACAAGTGTTAGGAATCATGTACTTAATGGAAGACCTGAGAAAATGTGTAGCTCGGAAAATAAAATGGCGGGAAGATAGCACAATCCGTGTTGGGAAACGCGTTATTCACTAATGCGCGGTGATAACAAATGAACGAAGAAAGCGCAGTGTAATTTGTGTTAATGCGCGAAAAAATCTTTCACCACAGTTCTAATGATGTGTTATGTATCTAATTCAGGGAAGCACGGATAGCGGCATTGGAAAAATCCATCCAGGAACGTGAAAAGATTATTGCTGAATGTAGAGCGGAAAATTTAAAATCCGTTGAAGAACTATACGTGGCCAACAGGCGCTGTGGTGATTTAGAATCTATGTAAGTTATAAGAATGAGTATTTTTACCTTCCATCGAACTATAGTGATTTTTACCACAGGAACACTAACCTTTAATATTCCACCGTCTTCAACATAGAATAAAATCCCTTCACTCGCAATTGGCGGAGAAGACAGCAACAATTAGAGTTCTTCAAAATAATAACAACGATGAACTGAGTGAGCCTGAATGGCCACTAGACCCAGCCTACTGTAGGACAGACTTCGCCCAAATGAGGGAACTGGCGCGAGATTCGTGTAAGTAAACTTGTACCTGAGGCGTACATTGCAATTACTTGAGCATTAAGAAAAACCTCATGAAAATTGTCTTAAATTGTTGATATGTTCTGTCCTTTGTTAGATGCAGAGTCACTTGATTCCGGAATGTCACTAACTAATGCACTAGATGCGAGACAAACAGATCCTGAATTCAAGGTACGGTGAAAAGTAAATATTAAATAATCAAGAAACAAGATCTTCATAAGTGCAGCCATGATATGATGTGGAAGTGAATTCTTGCGATAATCAGCTGAATACTGCAAGGATCCAGGAATATCATTGAAATGTGTAACTTTATAGCCGGAACTGTATGTCAAACTACGAAAAATTCCTTTTTTTCTGTTTTGTTATTCATCTCCACAGACAATGGACGAACCAGACGAGCTATCAGTTCACTTTTGGTCTGTGTAACAATTAGGATTCGGAAAGGTCATACAGACTTCATCCAAGTGTCGTCTCGGATAATCGGATCAGAATATTATTTATTACGAACTTCCTTTGAAATTATCAAGCCTGGACCTCAAAAGTCGAGATTTCAAAATTTTAAGGAACAAGGGAAGACGAAATGTTCTGAGACGATCCATTTTAAGGAAGACCAACCCACTCAGAAGTCTCCCGTTGGAGGGGATTAATTTGGACAATACTCTCCTGGAACACTATATATGCAGTATCACTGCCATGTCTATTGTAAGATGGGGGGAGGGGAGGGGGGGGCTCAATCGATTTGCTTTGCTAGAGGTATATCACCTCTTCACCAAGAATTCAAATCATCAAGGATATTGGCTGTGAAGCAGAGCATCCTATCATATGATAAATTAAAGGCATTTTCTAAGAATTCTTGTTCATCGAGAGCGCCCTCGGTTTTGTTTTTCCTGATGTACCAGTTCGCCCAGGTTTAAGTGAATTTCTCTTTGTTCGCAGTCTATCAGCGCCGGGTGAACGACTCACTTCTCTCTCTGCCATATCTTTTTCCAAGCTCGCTAAGAAAAAAACAAGATTGAAAAAAGAAAAAAAACCTTACCATCTCTCTTATTTCTGTAAGATTGAAGTAGTAATGGTCTCTTTGTAATAGTTTTTATCAAAGTAAAAGACACTATTAGGGAAGTTCATTTTCGCTTCACTACCCACCCCACCCCTTGTGTTTTGAGGGAAACAAAAACAGTAAAAGCTGGCCAAGTTTACAACATGATGGGCCGGTTATTTAGACAAAGTTTAACCGTTGTTTAACAAAACTGTGCTCTAGGCTATCTACAATTTAGCTGAGCCTCTTATCTGTATACTTTATTTTGTGAACTGTGTCAAGAGGACCAAAAATTAGCAGTGGAAATAAAACTTATCTGATTTCAGACAACTCTTATAAAGAATACATGAGGCTTACTGCTTGCGCAAAATCGCGGTTTGGGTTAGACCTCGTGTAAATGACCGGCCCGATATGTTTTACAAGATATTATAAAGATCATTTTCTTACCTAGAAAATGGTCAGTGATAATAGATTTATCCCTAAGAAGAGGTTTGTAAAAGGATTTTCCATTTTCCCCTGAAAAGAAAAATTACAAGTAAAAATTCAAGATCACGTACCTAAACTTTTTTCAGAATAAATTCTAAATGCCTGGAAATGTAAGTATTAACCTTGTCAGGGATTCATATTACGCAGTTCGCAGAACCACATAGGAATTCACTCGAAAACGAAAACTCAAACCATTTATTTACAGGGATTCCAATGATAATCCACAAATGTTCCATAACCGAGTAAAACATCCAATTTTGACAGTAGGGTAGATTTCCGACTGTTTCGAGTTTGACTAACAACAACAACAATTTTAGGTAACAAAATTACCAGTACAAACACAACTAGTTCTTTTTCGGCAAACACTTGGTCCGTTTCGCGGACGTTGACGTAAAAAATGTAGGCACGCAATGGGAGTACAATACAGCATAGCTTACTTTCCATTTGTATAAGGACGTATTTCTCTCTGGGTTTTAAGAAGTTTGTGGCATACGATTCTTGAGGTTGATGTTGCAGATATTTTGGATGACCGGTTACTTCACACAGATCCACTTCAGCTGGAGAAAAAAAAAGGGGCAGAATCCATCACGGCTTCTGCATTGGCGTTACTTTTTTATTCATTTTTAACCATTTGGTGTTATCTATCGCATGACAAACCATTTCTTAAGAAATACTTCAGCAAAAGTATACAGTATGTAAATTCTATGTAAAACTCCTGTAAAAATCTCGCGTTTTGATTGGCTGACATTTGCCGCCCCATCTTGCCGCATGCGCATTAGACTATTGCTACACGAGGATGAGCGGCGATATGAGCCACATCACGTAAGTGCGCAGATATCCATAAGTGTGACCCCACCCACCCCTCCCCCATTCATTTGAAAAATCCTGGAGTCGGAACAAAATATGATTGTCACATATATTATATTTTAATCACCTTGCATTTCACACTTGCACAGCTTTTTGATACAATCTAACAACAGCTTGAGCCTGCAATCGGTGTTAAATAGCACTTCCTCTTGTTCTGCGAAAAGCAATACCTCTATGAAAGGTTAAGTGGCCAATACTCTGAGCAGTTATGGAGCTCGTTGCAGCTGAAACACGTTTCCTAAGACCTTTTCACAAAATTTATACTTGGTAATCCTTGGACCCCTATGAGCGACTAGCATCTAATTTTTTCCTACAATATCACTCCTGAATCAAACATTTAGATCATGAATATAAAGGAAATGATCACCAACTTAAGAAGCTCTTGATTATTAAACAAATTCTCCTTGTCAGCTCACAACGAAATCTATAGAGAACAGTATGGCCAAAATACATACAGAGGTGTGCTAAAGGGTTTAAAGAGTTTAAGTATTCACTGAAATATCGTGACTAAACTATACTCCAGAAACCCTTAATGATACCAAACTTTAACGAGTACTCCTCTTTACCTGACAAAGTTCAAATGTGAAGAGCCTTTTAGATATTTGTTTAATTTCTGTCTGCTTTGAAGATCCTTAATAACTTTTTCAGTCATCTATGAAAGAAGCTGCATTTATGTTGCACTTATGTTTGCTAGATACCTTCACTGATAAAGTTGCAGACTTACCCCCATAAACGACTGTAATAAACATTTTTCTCAGAGCTTCACTTGGTGCCTCTTATTCAACTAATATCATCCGACAAATTCAGGATCTTAAGTAATGTAATTAATTTTGGAATCTTCTCTTGCTAACGAGGTGTTAATTAATTTCTTTGCAAATTTTTTTTTTCAAATTTGTTTTGATCTATAAAAGCCTGAAAGAACATCAACTCACGGATTACGTGGAAACAGAAATTCATCGAATATTGAAAAGCTCTCGTAAAATGTGTCTTTAATGCAGCCTTGTCATAATTTCTTTATTAAGTCTTCCTGGATGTCCTTATAAAAGCTCATCCGTGGCTAAAATTGATGTTGACTTTGGGAAACTGTTTTAAACGTTTAAATTCCAAAAGGATTAACATCATGAATGGCGCCAAAATACCTGATAAGTCTTCTGAGGAAACAATATAAATGTCACTTGTCAAACGGAGACATCAGTCTAAATGATTTATTCCCTCAACCGCGGATCAATTTGTTATATCGAAGTCAATGGGGAGAGGTTTAACAAAGACTGAATAACCTCGATGGTGAACCGAGGAAAATGTTCTGCTCGCTTTCCATGGCGTATTGATCGAAAAAGGTTTGCAGTCTCAAAATACACGACTTCTATACGATATTTCAATATCACTGTCAGTTACGTTGTCCTAGCAACTACTAATGTCCTTCCCAGATCTACCACGGTGAGGTCACAGAAAGTCGCAGGAACGAGCGAGAACTGGTGACGCTTTTCGTGCAGGTAATGCTACCAGTTGTTTGCGAAGACTTTCGCCTATTGTCCCTATCCATTCAGAAGAGCTGCTAAAATTTTTTTGCATTATTAGAAGGAGAACATTTTTTTCGCGGGTTAACAGAAAGGTTAATCCACAGAATTTTCTAATTCAGCAGCGTTATGAGAGCGAAAACATGGAATTACTGCCTGAAACCCACTTCTGAATTTCCGGTAAGTCAGGGTATATATAAATGGGTTGCAACCGCTGTTCAACATAGCCAGCGTGGTGGTGATGATGTGGTAACTGTCGGGGAATGGGCACAAGCCGTTTGTAAAGGTTAAACACATCATTCCAATAAAATGAGGAAACCAACAGAGAAGGAACGTGCCATTTACCACAAGCAGGATAAACGTGATCTTCATCTCCTTCCTAAAGAACACATTAAAGATAAAATGTTTATTCCTTACAGTGGGCGACCGTAAGTCAAAAATCACAAGATGAGAGGGGGGTACCATTTGACCATTTTTTCTACTTATTGGTTGAAATACTAATTCTTTTTCAGTACTACTTTTGAAATTATTTCACAGTTGGAAAACACAACTGGAACCCTTACCCTCAGCAACAACAAAGGAGAGTTTTATGGAAGGGGATAAGAAGGGTGCACAGGGGAGGTAACAAACAAGGGGCACAGGGAAGGTAACAAACAGAAACAAGGGTTTGTCCACTGATCAACTTAAAAGTTGAAGTAATTGGCTCAAGACTTACCTCTTATGTCGCCCGTCTCCCTTTTTCCGCTCGTTCATCCATCCGCGCATTCGAGCGAGGGGTTCCGGCAACCCGGCGGTAGCTGTTATTGTTCGGGAAAGAGGGTATCTCTTTCCCTCGGTTTCTCCTGGAATAACCGTCGAATCCTTCCTTAGAGAGATATCCTCTGTCCAGCGGTTTATTACCGGTGCAGCGACGTCAACTTTATTAACACGGGACGCCCCAGTTCTACGAGAGGAAGAGGTACTAAAGTTCTTGGGGTGTTTGCCTTTTCCAGCCATTTTAGAGCAACCTTTGGCTGCTACGACAGTATTTAATTGAGCCACTCCACTTGTACTCGAGGGAACGACTCTAGATGAGGATTTTCTCTTTGTTTCTTTTTTCCGAATCGTAGATGTCGAACTCAGCTCAGAGTCACGTTCAATCTCATCACGGTGTTCTTCCATTTTAAGTGAGGTCGATTCTGATTTTTCCGGCCCGATATAACATTCCTCAAAGACACTTTTCTCCCACCTCTTCTTTGAATTTGAAATGAATACATGATTTTCATTTCCGCGAACATATTTTTCTGAATTATCGCAATTTTTATCGAAAGCTTCTTCCGTGCTACTCGTACCAGGCTTCACATTCGACCCACTAAAACGGCCAACCGTGACACGTGGTTCCTCGCGCGCTTTACGACGAGCGGTTTTCAAGACACTTGAGTAACACAGCACCACGACGATCACGGGTGTCACGAAACTTGTCGCGCTAAGAAACATCGTGTAACTCTTATCGCTTTCCCATTGGACTGTACAGATGAACTCATAAGGCAAATAAACATACCTGCAACAACATGAATCGAAGTTAGCTGAAAATACAAATGTGTTTCTCTGTAGAGCGTTAAGTTACGGAAGAGTTTCGGTATTTCTCGGCCCAGTTCAATATGTCGAAAACGCACGCGCGCTTGAAAATCGCTGATTCATCCCAGAAGAAGGAAGATGAACTCTCGAATGAATGAATGAATGAATGAAAAGCTAAACTGAGGGGAAAATTTAATTTTGCGCGAATATTGGTCACTAAAAAAATGATTGCTCAATGCTTACACCGTAGTTAATGGTTGAAGGCCCAGAAAAATGCAGACCAGATCTAGAAGATAAAAATCAACTGATTTCACAAACCTTGACCAACCAAACACAGGAAGAATCGCCACAAATAGAGCATGTATCCAGATGTAAACCAATGTAAACCTTGCTCTTCTGACAGTCAACCAATTTCTGTACTGGAGTGGGTATACAATTGATAGCCATCTATCAACAGATACTGCTGTGAGCGTCAAAACAGATGTCACACAGAAGAGCGAGTTGGTCAACCCACTTATTACACAAAGAGATTCACCAAACAGCCATAGTTTGTGAAAAGCTGAAGCAGCTATCAGAGGCATCCCAATGATCGACTGCAAGAGATCTGCCACAGCGAGATTTGCCAGAAACATTCCAGTTTCATTCCGTAACGGTTTGTAACGGATTATCACGAATAAGGTCATAACGTTTCCAATCACACCGATTATTATAATTCCGCTTATAACGATTCCCGTGATGAAACCGATATCGACTGGCATGATATGCGATAAGTATCTTACCAGCACGGTCAAAAATACATTTAAGTTATTACTGCGCGATGGAATTTAGGTCTGTGAATGGATATAGATGATAAGAGGAAATTAAGCCATGAAAAAAGCCATGCAGAGAAACTATTCCTGTTTTTCGATCTGCTCAAGTCTTGTGACTCTTTCAGCGTTATACAGATGCCTTTAGAAGATTAATCTACGTCAGTAATCGGACGTATCTTTGTTCTAAAGAAGAATGGAAGAGGAATGAAAAAAAATTGTTATTGATGTTTCACGTGTTCCGTTTGGCTGTATTTCCTTGATCAAAAAATACCTTTTATCAATAGCAATGGGTTATAACAAGTATCACGTTAAAATTGAACATCCACACTTGTTCCAGAACGTGATCGAAATGCTTTCCTTCGCCGATTCACAGCGGAAGAGTTTCTTTATCCGAATAAAACGCCGCTAGTTAAATAAGGACTTGTTAGAGCGAGGAAAGTTCCGAAGGCCTTTTCCACGAGGTGCCACCTAAAGAATACCGCTTTCGTCTCTATATTCATGGTCTCCAATCCAGCTGCGCCTCTTTTTCTTTTCTCCTCATCGTCCGAAGAACATTTTGGATTACATTTTCAAAATAAAAATTCAAAGAATGGAAAATATTGTTCTCAGATATGACAGATGGCAGAAATGGCTTCCTCGACTAAAAAAACTTCTTGCATGAACGAATCTTTATCCTCCACGAAGTGAAAAATAATTATAACAAGAGCTAATCGGCTATTGTTACTATTGTCATGAAAAGGGATAACCATGAAACACCACACACATCGGAAGCAAGAAAATGCTTTTCTATTGGTAGTTTTGGTCATTTTTTTTCAATAATTTTAATGATCTTAAATTTAAGAAATGAACTTATACTTTAGCGCATCATGTTTTCTTCGTCAAAGTAAACTCGTACATTTCTTCCAAATAAAGGAGGCAAGTTTCTAAAGAAGCCGTGGTGCTGCGTCGGTGGGAGAGTATAACAAGGTAATTTTGTATTATCGACCGAGTTGATAACGTAAATTGGCCACTGTTAAAAGTTTCAAGCGTTCTCCCCTCGTCAACTCAGTTAATAACACCGAATTACATTTCTTCAAAAGTTTGTTTGTTTGATATTGTCAGAATGTATTAACGATGCTTTTTTAGTTTTTTTCCCTTGAAAACGATCTTGGCCATTTACAAACAGCTGCTAGATTCCGTAAATTTGCGTTTCCAGTAAATAATGAAACATAAAGAGTTATCCAAAGGAAAGCGTGGGCTGATGAGAGGGGGTTGGAGCCTAGGACAGGACATTGAGACGAGGCGACAATCGCGTCCTGTGTTCCCTCACGTAAAGGAGAAAAAAAACTCACTGGCGGCTGTAACTCGCCTTACCTCATTCTCATTTGAGGAGTCCTCATTTCTTTGGTCACGTGGTCGGCGACACGAAAGACCATAAGAAAAACCGAGTGGCGCTGAGAACGAGATTGGCCCGTCCCATATCTCTTTTAGATTAGTGGTTTGCGCATACTCGGTATAACAGTGAAAGCTTATGTTTCAAGACAGATCATCTTAGCGCTGAAAATAACATATTTTCAGAATTATCAAATACAGGAAGGGAGTCAATATTCTGTGCAAGTGACCGACGAGGTCCTAAGATGCAATACGGGATTAGAAACCATCCATAAGTTCTCCTCGCAAATTTTATACGACTTTGTCATCTTTCAAGTAAATCAAGCAACCAAGGTAATTCAGTCTTGTCAACTGAGTTGATAATGTAAATTGGCCACTGTAAAGAGTCTACAAGCTGACGTTTCGAGCGTTATCCCTTCGTCAGAGTGAATGGGGGGAGGGGAGGGGTTTTAGGGAGCCCTTATTCGCTCTGACGAAGGGCTAACGCTCGAAACGTCAGCTTCGAAACTCTTAACGGTGGCCAATTTACGTTATCAACTCAGTTGGCAATACTAAATTACCCTGTTACACTCTCACACCGACGCAGCATAACAGTATCTTTAGAAACTTCCCCCTTTGATCAAACAGACAAGCCTGTTGGCGGTAACATCAAGCAAACAATAAAGCCTTGGCATCCCTCCCTGGGATCTATCGCGAGCCGCTTTTGCACGGGAAACCAAAATCGATGTCTTTCTTGAAAAAAGCTCTCGTTTAAAACAAGACGGTAAAGTTTCCAACATGTGCGCATATAAGAGGCTTTCTGCGTAGTCAGACCCGTTTCTTCTTATTTAAGACAGAAGATCTGAAGATGCGTCCTACAGATGTTACAGGATTCAAGTTCTTTTGCTTCCCTCTCGCAGCTTGTGCCACTCAGAAACGAACCAGCCACGCTTCTGCCAAATATAATAACTTCCGTATTTTAGGTATAGCCTGTTGAGAGAATACCAGAAGAAAACAGTTTGCTCCTGTTGAACAAGTAGCAGAAAACAACTACAAATAGTTTGCTCACGTGAGAGAGTGATGGATTACAAAATAAACTGATCGAGTAGCAGTGGACACACCCACTTCTCTTGGCAATTTCAAGAATTCCTTGCAAATCCAAAATAAGTAGTTTTCCTCCTGTGCAAATATGGCTGGGAACGTTTTAACAATGTAAGCTTCGTAGCAACAGCATTAAAATGACACGTATCATTTGTGTTAACTACTTACGCCCCAAATAAAACACCACCGAGATGTGCCGCATGATCAAACACTCTCCAACGCATCAACAATCCTAGCAAGTCAAAGCCAGCTACAGCTAGGAGGCCCTGGGGACGAGAGAAAACGAAACACCCGTGACATGATATTCACATGACGCTCCTGGGGTCAATGACGCCATGAGCAGTCACGTGTTGTCGACTGTAACGAAATAGATTAGTGAGTTATCAGAAACAGGGTCAAAAAAATAATCATCCTCAGGATTTCTTTCTTATTACTTACCACTCCAGCAGGGAATGTAAAAAACGGCAGAAACACAATAGACAAGCGCAAATCTGGTTCATTGATGCACACAAGCGATAAACACGCAAGCAATGCCCCTGACTAGGAAACAAACAAAAAGTGGTTTTTAAAATGTGGATTTTAAGGAGTTAAGCCTTACCGTCTGTATGTCTGTTTGACTAGATGACTGCTGAATGACTAACTGACTTACTGACTAGCCAACTGACTCACTGACTAGCCAACTGACTCACTGACTGACCAACTGACTCACTGACTGACCAACTGACTCACTGACTGACCAACTGACTCACTGATTGACCAACTGACTCACTGACTGGCCAACTGACTCACTGACTGGCCAACTGACTCACTGACTGGCCAATTGACTCACTGACTGGCCAACTGACTTACTGACTGGCAAACTGACTTACTGACTGACCAATGATTTACTGACTGGCCAACTGACTTACTGACTGGCCAACTGTAAGAACATGTAGGAAAATGACTGACTGGCTAAGTGACCAACTGATTTGCAGGCTGACTGACTGACTGACTGGCTGATTGACTGACTCACTGACTAAACTACTGGCTGGCTGGCTGAACAAATGAGCAGCTGACTGACTGAGCGAATGACTGGCTGACTGACTAAGTGGCTGACTGACTGACTGGTTGAACAACTGACTAGCTGACTGACTAAATGGCTGACTGACTGACTGACTGGTTGACCAACTGACCGATGAACTGACAGATCAAGTGGCTAACTGACTGTGAAGATAATTTAACTTTGAATCCTTACCGCTCCTAGTGAAGCACCTACACGAAATGCATTGGTGAAACCAATTCTGCATGCCTGACTCAAGAATGAAGCAAAAACACCTGGAAAATATACATTTGAGCAAATGTCACATAAAGAATGACTATTCATGGTCAAGATTCTCTTTCCATAACTCATCAGTTGACTACTTTTGGAGAAGTTGTGAACCGTTTCTCACAGTATGAATTTGAGATATTTTTAATATGCTTACCTCCAGTAATGTAAAATGCAATAAACTGTTCTTTGCCAAGAAGAGCTGTAAAAGAAATACAACCTTTTTAAAGGTGTATCAAAAGTTTTGGATTGCATCGTCCCAGAATATCATGGTTATTTTGGCAAAATACAAAATATAAAATGAAAATTGTATTGAAATTTGTGTATCTTAAAATGAAATACCAACACTGAAAAACAAAACAAAAAACAAAGAAAAAATATCACAGTTTATTGGATTATTTACCTTCTAAATGAGGTGCAAAATTCCAGAGCACAAACATGTTGATAGATAAATGCCAGATTTCTTTATGACTAAAGACAGATGTCAGCATTGTCAGACTTGAGCCTGGAGATAAGAGTATGAACTTCATCATGCGAAGAATTGTTAAATCATGTTATATGATAAGATGCATTATGTATGCACTTTGATTGGTTTTGGATGTTACCACCAACAACATTTTTCTCTTTTAGAGGAGAGATGCACAGATGAAGTCACTATTAACAACACTTTGGTTTTTGAAGGAAAAACAAATTGATACCATATTACTGTGGGTCTGTTCAGTTATAGATTGAACAAAAAAGCATCCAGATGTGGTAAGAACATTGGTGACACACTCAGCTGGGTGTCCTGTACCACTTTTTTTTTTCTTTTCTTGTAAAAATCTTCAACTGATTGATGACTGACCTGAGAATGGAGATGTTGTAAACCACTTGTACATGAACAAATGTAATCTAGGTTGATACCATAACAAAAGCACTGCTGTGTTTATGAAGATAATCACAGCTGCTGTCTTTGAGCCTCCATGCAAAGAGTTCCACCATTTATTTAACTAAACAAAAAACAACAAGTCAACAGGAGATAACCTTTTAACCCCTAACATCAGTATGCATAATCTCAGTACTGTTCTCTGTACAATTCTTAAGATGCTGATAAGGAGAATTTGTTTAACAATTCAGAGCCTCTTTAGATGGTGATCATTTCCTTTATTCTCATGACCTTAACGTGTGATTAAGGGGTGATAAGGTAAGGAGAAATTAGAAGTTAGTCACTCTTAGGGATTGAAGGATTAAAGAAAAAGCCACCATATCACTACCATATCAATTAAATGAAAAATTGAACACAAACCATATTGCGGAAGTCAAATGACTTGGAAGAATGAGAAGAAGACTTGTTTGTTCTTTTTCCTTGCACATACAAATTTCTGACTCGTTCATAGTTTATAATTGAACATGTTCCAAAGCTCACTACTCCTGTCTAGAGTTATGAAGAGAAAAACTATGTAAGAGGTAAATAACTCCAAAGTAGAAGATAACCTTTGCAAATTGGAAGCAGAACATGAAGACAATGGAATTCTTCTACAGGTCTTGAATTTAGAACTGCTACTATACTTCACTATTTTGATACTGTACAAAATGAGCTATGAAGTCCTACAGAGGAAGACAGCATTTCAAGCAAAGTAAAGAAAGATACTCGGCCACCTGCCCCCCTTCCCCAACCCCCTCCTGTGAAATATCAAATTGGGCCTGGTCATTGTTTGCAGCCATACTAATCCTAAATGGTTCTTTGCACTAATTAATTTACCACCAGCCTCCTTCTCAATGGTGATATTGATCATCTTTAAAACTTCAAGACATATTCTAATTTTTAAGAGGTTGATGTTTGGATCACATACCAGCACTGTGAACCCCAAAGGACGCACAATCATCCGTAATTTACTGACATCGTCTGAAATTTCGGGCTGATTTTCATTTTTTCCGGATGTTCTTCCATTCTGGCCGGGAGTTCTTTCTCGTGGGTGAAACTGCCTTGATCTTGATCTAACACATGTAAACAAAACCAGTACACGTGCAATGAGTCGTTTCTAACGCCTTAAAATCTATCTTGTCTGAAAATGAAAAATCTATACGTACTACCTGTGAAAAGGAAACCTTACGGACGATGTTTTCCCAGAAAGTTCTCTTATTCCGCGCCGCAAGGGAACGAACACGGCCGCCATGATGACTACTTTCTTCGGCACCAGTCTTATTACAGACAAACCAAACACGGACAAGAAAACCTTCCGGCAATAGAAATTTAAATCGGTATTCACACAACTTCCTGGGACTACCTTTTATTTATTGCAGCTTGTAACTACAACTTTTCATGCTGTTTTTGTCAGTTCATCTTGTATCGTGGTATGTTAGTTTTGGAGCCAGTCTTTTCTCTCATGCAATGTAACGGTAAGTTAACTTGTGCATCTACATAGTTTACTCTCTTGGAACAAAGATAAAAAAAATTTAACTACCTATGACATATTAAAGTTCACACGGCAACCAGGTGAACAATCAGACATGGTTTGATGCTACTCTGGTTTACAGATTTAATGAATGTAACCGAAGAAGTTACAATAGACCCAACATTTCGACACTCCTGTTTAGTGCCTTCATCAGGGGTGATCGAAACGCTGCAACAATTAGTGATCATATCAACGGACCTCTTGTAGCAGCGTTTAGATCACCCCTGATGAAGGCACTAGACAGGAGTGTCGAAACGTTGGATTTATGAATTGTAACTTCTTCGGTTACATTCATTAAATCTGTAAACCAGAGTTGCATCAAACCATGTCTATTTATGACATTTTATTCTTCAGCGATCATATGTTTCAGATTAATCATGCGAAAAAAGAGATCATCACATCGCTAAGGGGCTTTCCGCAAATAATAATAAAGAAATTGACTTCCCATGACAACTCCTTTAATTGTTTGTTTGGGATGCAACTGTAAAAACATAAAAATAGACGTCGAGGGGGTTGATATTGCGCTTGGTTTTGGATCAAAGAGATTTAAAGGATATTGCCACACAACATTAGTTAAGTTAAGTCTCCTCTTACGATCCCCTTTCGGTGTCCGCTTTATAGAGGCCGATCATCCTTAAGAAGGTCTCCCCCTAAGCTTATTGTTTTAGAAAATATGACCTAGGAACCATGAACGAGAGGCGGAGATCGACTCAAAGTGATCTTTTCGTGTAGACGTGTCAGTGAAGAAAGTGTTCACTCTGTGATAATACATGCAAAAAACACAAGAAAAAGCTGAATCAAAGGAAAAAACACTCACCACATCCTTGTAAGCCAACACTTAGCAGGACTCCTGAGACGAAAAACCATTTTCATTCAGCTCACGAAACAGGAGTCATTAAAAAATAATTAAATTCAAAACAAATGTTTGACAACTTGACTATATACCTTCAGCGACGACAATATTAGATGTACTGTGTAATAATACTGGACTATTTGCTTCACGTCAACAGAAGAGAACATATGTTAATTTAAAATTTTAATAAAAGATAATTAGGACCATATGGCCTGACATGAAGGCACTTGGCTGTTTTATGTTATGATTTCTTCTTCGAGCGAGATTTATCTCGAAAACCTGAAGTATTTGTACACCGTATAGCTAAGGGAAAGTGTGTGTAACTAATCGGTAATATGATACTGGAATCTGTTGGTAACTTTCACTTAAATTCGGTTTGTGGTAAGACTGATTTAGTTAATATTATTATTATTTATAGTTTTTTCCATCAGATTGCCTGCCTGAACGCGAATAACAGCTAAAGGTGAAGGACAAACCCCTCGCCGGCGGACAGGATGATACGCCAAGCTTCCAACGATATGAGAAGATCGGTCGAGGAAGGAAGGCGTCATACTTAAGCGGCGTTGTTTAGAAAGTGTGCATGTCACTTCTCACGCAGAGGAAACCCAATCTTAAGGGAATTGGAAACCATTTTATATGCGGAATGGCCGGTTTTTTTTTTTGCCGAAACTGTGTTTGCAAAATTATTTATACGGTGCAAGAATGATACCAAGTTGACTAATATAGGAATCGAAGGAAACATTTACAATTCAAACTATAGTAGGTGCTTCAGAAAGAGGAAATTACCTGTACACACTTGGCAGTAATAGCAAAAACCCTTATAAAAAAAGCTGTAAAGAAGAAGGTTAAAAACAGGAACAAAATATACAAAATGAAGCAACGTACCAACGAAGCAACGTTTTATCAGTGAGATGATTGATGGAAAGGGGGTTATCGGAAGGAAATTTCTTACAATGTCTTCAGACATTTTAGTAATGTTATGAATGTGTCAGCAAGACAGTGTAAAAAGGTTTTTTTATCGTCACTTTCCAATGGAATAGACTTTAAATGGTGCAAAAATAGATACACGGATTAAATAAAGATATTAAATTTGTGGTTATTATTATCTGGTTTTATGGAAGATCTTCATTTGAACTTAAGTCAGTGTTGGTTTACTCACCGTGGTGCAATTTGTAGGACAATTAACTAAGTCGAAAGCATGGGAACGAAATGTGGTCCTAGAAATGTCGATGAGGTTAGAATGATAACTAAATTATTGTTTATGGTCATCTTTCTCAGTTAATATCCAGGAAGCCACTGAGAGTGTTTTTTTTTTTTCGTTTGATTAATGGCAGGAAAACCCGGTTACCCGGCTCCAACACCCACAAAGGCGATAATTACTAAATATCGGATCAGCAAACCCAGTATATTTCCGTTTATTTTAGCACTACTTCGTCTTGTGGGATATTTATCAAGTTTGAGGTTTAATTTTTCATCTCAGTGCAATCTCCTTTTTTTTCTCGGTGAACCACAAGAAGATTAAAAAGTGACTCCTATGTTTTTACGTCAATTGGCGATTCTTTTTTCTCGATTCGTATCGAGTTAACTTAAGTGTTGAAGTCGTTGAGACAAAAACAGCAAGGGCCGGCGCATCTTTACTAATTATTAGACAATGGGTAGTCCAATAATCGTATTTCTCACAAGCAGAGAAATTTTAACAACTAAAAGAATCAGAAAATAGGATTTCCGTCGGTTAGGATTGATGTTTACAAATGCGGTTTATCGGTATTTACTAAATCACGTTTAATCCAGATCCTACAGGCCAAGAGAAAGCCTGATTCTAATTTCGTCAAGCCCTTTTGCTTCCTGTCATTACTAACTTTTATTTCACAGACCAGTACAACAGCTACAAAACAAACAGAGGAAACGTTTACAGTCAAAAACTGCAGCTTATTAAATTAAATGGTGGTGATTTGAAAAAAGTAATCATTGTTGTTAACATATCAACGGAATATTGATTTATGAAAATCAAATAGCGAAAATTGCGTTTGCGTTTTTTTTCCTTTTTTTTAATTCAAGCTCAGTAATTGTCTGCTTTCACAAATCTGTATCAGTTAAAACACAAATAATTTACCGCTGTCCACTCAGTTCGTTCCCTCGATCTTCATTACCTGTTTTGGGAACTTTGGTTTCAGAGTTCTACGATTTAATGATGAAAGCGAGTTAGTGCAGAAAAAAAAATTGTATCTGCATGACCTTCTCTCATCCAGGTGTGTGGTATTTTGATCGCCTAATTCCCTTCCAGCAAGGAATCATCATGAGGTTTGTTTCTTATCCAGTTTTCTTAATAAATAGTTTCATCACTGCTTGAAAGAGCTTAGGTGCAGGGGATAAAGGTTTGACTTCAGGCTAAAGAACGGAGCTGAGAAATTGCACAAAAATACCATAGAGGCTGAAGAGGAAGACATGTTAATAATAATAGGAATGATAATGATGATACTAATAATAATAAAAATAATTATAACGATAAGGATGATGATGATAATAGTAGTGCAGGATGATTGATAATTATGTTTATAAAATAAAAAAATGTAATAGGCTATTTTTATTGATAAGAATAATAATTATTATAATGTTATTTATAGCTACCTGTCTCGCGTCATCATGGTAACGGCATAACTTGTAAATACAGCGCTTCTTCCCAAATTTTCCACACGGCCGATCAAATATCATAGAGCGTTCATTGGTTCCTCTGTCATGATTGACTCGCTGGTAAATCAAGAATGCTGGAACACGCTCAGAAGTTGAATCGTGCACGTTTGTTTCTTTCTATTTTCGTCATTGCAACTGATTGGATTAAAAATCAACTTATTCACACTGATTGGATAATTTCAGCACCTTGCACGATTTTGCTGGCGTACGTACCGTAACAACACACCGACACAAATGAAAGTATTTCCAGCTTTAAAGAAAAAAAAAATGGCGAACCAGTGTAGATTTCGAAAAACTCCTAAAAAACTTCTTGGTTCTGAAGATGGCCCCAAGCCGCCGCTCCCCTTCCAAAAAAAAATTGTTATTGCTTCTCAAAGCTCGGGAAACTTTTTTTCTCTGTTTATTCTTCTTGAGATTTGACGTCGCTGGAAAAGGTCCAGAGGAGCCTCTATCCTTTTATACTTGAAGTGGAATGAGTAAGTGAGTAAACAATTTTATTAATCTGAAACCTTTCAGCATGAGGTCTGCAAGTTATGCGTTATGTGATTATCGAGGTATAAAAATCACAGTTAATCCGCTTTCTTGTCTGTTATTCATTTAACCCCTAGGCAAAATGTGTCAGTGAGAAGATGGATTTGAAAACTCCAATCACGCAATGATTCCTATTTGGAATAAACACTTAAAAATCTGTTTTTCTTTCTTCAGAAGCAATTGAATTATTTTACAGTAACACGGCCATTGCGAAAAGAGAAACGATATTTCCGTTTATCTTCCCTCAAATGTCAAGACTGAGTCATTGCTGCAGAGCAAAATTAATCTTACCAATAATGCGATGGTTTTCGATGGTACGTCAAAAATAGCTTGTGAACTCACCGCGCAAGTTAGTTAAATTGTCTGCTAAGTTCTGTAATCGGTACTAATTGACAACGAAGGAGACCCCACATTTAAAACGTTATCCATACCATCAAAGAGACTGCAATCAGTTGAAAATATCGTGATATTTTTTTCATGTTTGTAGGTTTCATTCTTTCTTCCAGACAAATTATCAGACAAATGTCCTGAATTCGAACGCTTGACTGCCTGAGGTTTGACGTTTATCGATCTATTTATGAAAACATTCTGAGTGCCGCAGCGTTGCTACGTACTTAAAAAGTTTAGTTAAGATATGAACGAAGATTTCTGTTAAGTTTCTTGTTTTGTCATGTACGCTTCAGGCTGACAGGGTCTTCAAAAAAGCTTGAAATATTTTTGTAGAGATTGTTTGTATATAAAATGACAGAGTAGTTTTGATGTTTAACATTCATTTTCATATAAGCACGCGATTTCGCCGCCCTTTGATTACACTTTTATCCTTACGATGGCTCCCGAGAGCTATCATTTAACGGTTTAATTTTCATGGTCACGTTAGAAATATTTATTAAAAAAGTTCCCGCTAAAATCATTTGAAATCAATAAACCATTCCTAAATGACCTAATAAAGAACAGTCAACATAAAGATTGTAAAAATTTGCTGTCGTTTATTTTCTATGAAGTAGGTATTCGTCAACATGGAGGAAATGTTCCCAAATCCTTTCAAGAATTTAAGCCAACTCTTCGCAGCGAAATTTGCGAAGTATATCAGTTTGCGTCCGCGGTGAAGGTTCACAACAATGGAACGAATTGTTAATTGCCTGCTCTTAAATGTCTGTCCTCTCTGTAAGTGGAGTCTAAGTGTGTTTGTCCAGCCGAGGTAACCATTAACTGACATAACAACTAATCATAATAAAAATGTCTTTGCTTTCAGTTTCTTGAGAGGCCATCATTAAAGTGATAAATGACAGACAAGTTTGTCCGCCCTAATTTACCATATTGCCTCGGGCATCACGACAATTGACCATGCAGTCAATTCAAATCCTGCTTGAAATATTATAGACAGCACGTCCATGAGTGTTTGGAAGTGTTTTCTTGGCTTAACGATTCTCTTTGATTACAAACGGAGTATTGCGCAAGTTTCCTTTCTTCAGATGGGACCGCTCCCTTGGTTTTCCCTCTTCTAGGGCCTTTGAAACCGGAAAAAAGAAAAAAGGAATCTTTTTTTTTTTCAAAACGATGTTAGTTCTGAGCGGCCCGAGGACGGATCATATCTTATAAAGGCTCTTAGACAGGAGATTTTGAAATTGCAACCCGCAGATAAGAATGAATTTTTAGTTACTTATGAGGTCCTAGAGATCTCTTAGCTGCAGAACTCATTCGTGTCCCGTTGATATGTTGCTGAGAGGCGTGCAAGATAAAAATGCTCTCATAAATACAACTTGGATACTGCCACAGTATTTATATTGCTCAGTCTGCATTCTGACCGTCAATCCGGCATAAAGATTTAGATGAATTTTATAGATAAGGAAATCTTTTAATATTAATGTAATCGGATCTAGAAGCGAACTGTGTCGAAGAACGTTTGCATTTTTTGCTATAATTCTTATTGTTTGAAATTTTTCACCAGATGTCGAATGAAACAACATTGTTATTTAGGGAACTTCACAGGGAAACTTGAGTAACTTGAAAGTTTAAGAAGTTACACAAGTTTCCGATACGAATGCCATAGACTACTATTTATATCAAAGATTCAAGTGCTAGGAAGTATTGAATAACTTAATTCTAATTTTGGATACCAAATTTTTTACACAAATGCATCTTTTATCTATTTAACTCACTTAATAAAGATTTCATTTCAGGTGTTTTCAATATATTTTGATTTAATGTACAGAAAGAAGCTGCCAGATTATCAATTTCC